GTCTTCATTGATGAAAATATTTTTTCCTTTCAGATGAAAAGATTTTTTAAGAATTTCTGTTTCATCTTTGAAATCCAAGAGTTTTAGCACGATCAATGAAAATATTCTTTGATTCAGACTTAATAATGTTCTCTATAACAACCACCTCTAAAATAAACAACACACATGATCTAATTATATCAAAATCAAAAAACAGGACCAACAAAGTTTTTACAGGTCCTTATCTTAGCACGGTCTTTTTAGGACGTATATCTTTTTATGACGTATATCTTTTTAGACGTATATCTTTTTAAGACCTATATCTTTTTAGGGACGCATATCTTTTAGTTGCATAATTTAGAAACCAAAACAGCCCCGACAGCAAAATGTTCCTTTACAAAACGGCAAATACAATGAAATAAATACATTTATAAATAAAATAAGTTAGCCAGCTAAATTTATGGATTGCAATGTTAAAGAATGTTGTTACATATGGTCTAAATGAAGCGTGTCATAAATTTATAATAAATGCATCAAATCAACAGCCAAAATAAAGCAACCCTGGATCACAGACAAGTTAATGAAGCTAGTTGGACTATAAGAGATTTGATACAAAAAACTCAAAATAGAAAAATGCAGCACAGATCAAGGAGTATAGAAATGTCAAAAAGGAGGTAAAGAAAAATAGCAAACAATCATTACATGTCTATGAGTCAAAGCTAGCTAACAACAAGCATAATAAAAAAAGACTATTTGTATATAATAATAGTAAACGGACAGTGAGCAATCAAATATCGGCCTTAACCTCAGATTTAAATCAAATGAACAAATGGAATAACAAAATCAAACATTCTCAACAACTAATTTTGATCAATTTTTTCAGAGACCACTGATTCAGCCACTAAAACCTTTTGCATCCAAAACAAATGCTTTAACCTCAGATACAACGATTGATCAATTTATTGTTCTCAAATACCTAAAAACGCTTGATAAGTTGATGGGCAATGACAACATTAGCACGTTTGTTTTAAAAGCTTGTGCCACGTCAATGGCAGTTCCACTATCTTTGATTTTCCAACTTTCAAAAAAAATCTGTTAAGCTTCATCAACTTAGCTCAGAGCTAATGTTACACCTATTTACAAAAAAAGCAAAAGAACAGATCCAACCTACTAAATGCCAATATCACTCACTTCTGCTCCATGGAAAAAACAGTTAGACAACTCATAATCAATTTGGTAAATAACAAATTACTTTCAAAATCTCAACATGGTTTTATCTTAAAAAAGAGTTGCGTTACAAACCTATCAAAAACATTAGATTTTTTTTTTACTCATAGCAAATCAATAAAGAAGCCAGTCGACCTAATTTTTCTTGACTTTGCAAAGGCATTTGATACAGTTTTGCATGTCAGACTGCAATAAAAACTTGAAATGTATTTTATAAATTGCAATATTTCACTTCGGAAAAAAGTTCCTTGACGAACCCCTAACAGCGTGCTATAGTTGGAGATTTAATATTTAACTGGATTGATGTAACAAGCGGTGTTCTCAAGGTTCTGTTTTAGGGCCGATATTTCTTGTTATATATGTTAATTAACTGCAAATTCATGTCAAATCAGCCATTTGCAAAATGTACGATAAGACAGAGCAAGTTTACAATTCGATCTAGACGAGATTGTTAAATGGGAGCAAACATGGCTAATAGAGTTAAATGTAAAAAAAATGTAAAGTCATGCATGTCAATTCTACAGCAATAAAATATGATTACTTTATAAATAAAATAAAAAAAAACAACAGTAAAACCAATAAAGTAATATCTGAGAATTTTATATATGCTCAACAGTGCAATATAGCAAACAAAGCAAATAACATGCTCTGTATTTTTTAAATACACGTTTGTATCAAGAGACATTGACATTTGGAAAGAAATTTATGCTGCATTTATTAGAACACATCTGGACTGACAATATATATATATATTTTTCCCATTCTAGTGTTTGTGTACAATGTAAAACATTTTATTATCACATTTTATTAACTATTCCAGAGCTCCCTCAAAGCCCTGAAAGATAGTAAACAATCGGGGCTGGTATTTCAATGTGGCCAAGGCCAGTCCTAGGGACGAGACTGCATAAACATTGGTGCATATTGACTTTTTTTATATATTATATTAATATGCACCATTATCAATAAAGCCATAAACCCGGTTTTGGCTCAGGTCAAATACCAGCCCCGCTCGTTTATTACCTAAAGATAAGCCTAAATTCTTCTATAAAATAATATCTTTTTTCAGTTAAAACACAGAAAAATAAGTACCCTGAATCCCATTTTTCAATTAATTAAAAATTAAATAATAAAAATCAAGCCAAACAAAAGCAGCTTGTATAATATATGCTGTATTATCCCGTTAAACCAAGCTAGTTCTGCATTTTTTTTGTTAACAGTTATAGTCAAAATATTTGAACGTTAATAATTGTCCATGAGTTTTTTTCTTCCGAAATTAGGATATTGCTGCCTGTAGTTTTGGACGCCCTGCAGTAACCATTCTCTTTGTTGTAGATCACTGGTTATAATTGTGGCAAATTCTAAAATCACTTTCACTCATTTATATGCGGTATCATTTACAACTTTTACCGTAAGATCAATTTTTCAGCTTCTTGGTATCCTGGTTGCTCTTTCCACTGTTCAATTGGTTTAGCAAGCCAATCTGTTTTGGTACTAGGAATGCTGAATGTGTAAGATTTAAGCCTCAAAAGATTTAAAAAACTTGTTTGACGAATGATTTTACGAAAAATTGCCTCACCAAGACAAAAATTTTAGGAATTTCCAAGAGTTTGGCTGCCATATTATTTTTCACAATAGAACTAACATGTTTGCTTAAAAAACCAACTGAACTACCTTTGCTGTCAAATATTATCAATGATTGGTTATTTTGGAAAGAAAAGCATTAGCAACTTCTTTTTTTTTGAACATCTATTTCTTCAAAGTCAATCATGTCGTGGATGAATCGCAGGTCAATCATAGGTGCATAAAACCAGCTAGCTTTTGTTCAAACATGGGTATGGAAAAGAAAAGCTGTTCATTTAAAAAGATTGGTTGTCTTCTAATCATAAGGCAATTGTTTAGAAAACAGGATTATTTTGTTTGCATCAATGTTACATGCCATCAACCAAGCTTTGTGGATAGCTCCTGGTTTGAGAAAGTGTACACCCCCTGGAAGAGTTTGTCCACGGATGACGAGTGTGCTCTTAACACATCAACCTCGTCATCTCTTGAAAATGTTGTAGCATCTTTGCTTGGAAGTAGATGTGTCAAATGCTGTATGGTCTATTTTTTGAGGTGTTGCAACCAGATGCCTTTAACAGCTAAAGTTTCGATTGGTTGTTTATTTAATGTTGGTCATGCAGTTTTTAATTCAGCAAAGAATTTATTTTCTGGACCAAAAATATTTCAAAATATTTTATTCCAAACTGCTACAACAAAGATTTCAAGAATGTATTGCTAACAGGCAACCTAAAGAAGTTTTCGACCTAAGTTTTCTTTAATCAATTTAACAGCACCATAGTAGATGCCACTATTACTGGCAGTGTTATCAAATACCAATTCCACAACATTGTTGCTTAGATCCCAAGCTTTTAGAAGACCAAATGTTGCATTTGCTTGAGTCTTTCTTTTCGAATCAACAAGAGCAGGAACACAAGTGCAGCTAATTTATCATGCTGCACACCTAGTACGTCTTTTAGCAATTTTCTGTCCCAATAAAAGTCACTAAGCTGAGGTGGGTCGAACCTCACATTTTCTATAACACCTTCCATAATCCTCTGTCGATTTAACATCTTACTTTGATAAGATGTTGGTGTGGAAATATCAATTGTCCAAGTTTCTACCTGATCCCCCATTTCGCGCTAGTCCAACCCTGATTATATCTATGGTGAAAACAAATAAAATTTAAAAAAATATTTAATTTAAAATCCCTAATTTCCCTTCCGTCTTGCTTCTGTTTACTTAAATTCTATTCTTACTTCCATTTATTTTAAACTTTAATGATCTCAAAAATATTTTTGATGGATGCTATTTCCACAAAAATCAAGCATGTAAATACTACAGGTTTCGGTAACTTTTTATTATTTTTATTTAGACACAAATATTTTCATATTGTTTAAAACAAAAAATAACAGGTTATCATTAATTTATACATAAGAAAATTATGAACAATTATAAAATAAAATAAAAAGGAGGTGGGAGGAGGGGAAAGGAGGGGGGGGGGGGAGGAGAGTGAGAAAACCGTTATCTTTGTTCGGCCCTGGATATAGCTGCAATTATGTTTTTACCTCTTTTTAAACAATTACATAAAACAAAACGTAAACAAATTGTTTATTTAAATTTACATATAAAAAATTTACAAATGTAAGTTTTTTAATGTAAATTTTTTATGTGATTTGTTTTTTTTTTTTAATTTTGTTTTATTTGATACAATAATGACCCGAGTAAACAAAAATGTTTTAACTACTGAAAAATAAGTCCTAAACAGTAAGCTTTGTTTACTTTTTATTTATTGACACAAGATTCTCGTGACTACGGTTTGGGAATTATTAATCATTGTAATATAGTGTTACTGCAGCACATGCACGCAGTTCTAAGTTATGCACAATTGTAGATAGATTTAAAAAAAAAAATCTTAGAATTGTTTACTTGTGAAGTTAAGATATTTAAGCTGCAAACCAATATTATAAAAAATATATATCAGTTTTATTTATAATAAACTGCGTTGTGTATATGTTAGGCAAAGGCAGTAGTAAATCTTATTTGAGATAAAGATACACTATTCTATTTTATATTACTGTATATAAAAAAATGTTTCATGATGCTCTCTCTTATACTTACAGCTATGTAAAATATTTTAAATATATACTCCTAAAGTATATGTATTTTATATTCTTTTATAATCAAGTAAGTAGTATTTGTATTCTAAATTTTTGATTTATTTTGTATTTTTGACGTATTTGAAGAAAGAAAAATGATATGCAACCTTTCAATGATGGGAAAGCTAAAGAAGATGTATGCAACTACATGTACAATGCAATTTTGGAGCTTGTCTAAACAGGGGACCTTATTAGTAGACCTAGCCTAAAATTTAAATCAGGAGTAAGAAAATGTTTATAAAAATATTGCTGATAAAATGTTTAGTTTAATAAAAAAAAGTAACTAAAGCAGTTGCTAACTTTGCAATTGATTGTATAAATGGTTTCCATAAGAGGTTAGTAGTTAATGATATTCAAAGAAAAAGTAAAGTAGAGGGCTTAGTAATAATACAATTCATTAGTAATAATACAATTCATTAATTAGTAATAATACAATTCATCAATATTGGTATCTCAGCATTATTGAAATAGTTATTAGCAGTTGGGTTAAATATTACCGGCTGCTTTAAGCCTCAAGCTGTCTCAGAAAGGGATCATATTCAAGATCTGTTGCCTTTTCTAAGTGATTAGAAAGTTGTGTCATTAGAAAAATTGAGCCACTCTAGAAATAAGATTGTAATGTGATGATTAATATTATCGCGAATGTAATCTTTTATATAGATCTAGAGGAACAACAGAAAACCAATGGAACCTTGTGGTACCCAAGAAGTTACTGGAAGAAAAAAAGGGAGAGTGTTGTCTGTATAGGGCTACTATAATGCTACAATATTAAAAAAATGATTTAATTTTTTCGAAACTTTTCCAGGTACGCCATGTGAGGGTAGCATATAAAGCAGACTAGCATGCCAGCTTTTATTTAATGAATAAAAGCTTCCATGTCTGGCTGAACCCAGGATATTATAGAGAAAACTTAATTTGAGGCTGTGAGATAAAAGCACCTCGGTCCAAGAGAAATTAGCAAAAGTCCAAGAAATTAACAAAATAATCATAGCCATAAGGTAGTAAGATGTGATTATAGATAAGTCTGATCTAGAAGAAGTACAAGAATTAATGAAACCATAACATGATCTTATCCACCAAAAGGAGAACAAGGGAGAAATAGTAAAGGAGAAAGCTAAGGAAAAACTGACCACAACCAACGTAAATCACAAAGTTAACTGAGTAAGATTACGAATATGGTTATGAGCAAACAGAGTTAAAAATACTATAACTTAGACATTCAATGTGATGAGGAATAATGTAAACAATATCATCAAAGAATAATAGCCACTAAAACTAAGATTAGGTGCAAATTATTAACATTTGCAGAAGTAATACACCTTAGAGGTAGATTCTAAAATAAAAACTAGAAATTCCCTTTTACTTTTATTTACTTTAATTTAATTTACTTGCATTTATTTAATCTTTAATGATCTCAAAAAAGTTAATTTTTTGAAGGAGGCTAATTTCACGAAAATCAGGCATATAAGTACCACAGGGTTGGGTAATTTTTTATTATTTTTAATTAGGAATAAATATTTTCATATTATTTAAGCTTCCCAGAAGATCAATAGACCGTCCAGAAAGCCCAAAAAAATCAAACTAGTAAAAGGTAGAATCAAAAATAAAAGCCAAAAGTTCTGAAATTTTTTTTAAAGTTAGCAAAGCTACCAGATTTTATCAATATCTTAGATTTTTTGCAAAACTAATTGACTAATCTCAATAACAAAACATTATACCTTTTTTAGATTCATTTCTTTATATAGTTAAAAGTATTATTGTAAAAATTGAAAAAATTGCTTTGCAAAAAAAGTTGAATATATTGCTTTGCAAAAAAAACAATCATTTAAATAAAACTCTAGTGCAATAAAGGGTATGTATTTTTCATTTGTAATTGTTAAAAGCTTGCAGAAAAAATAGAACTAAAATTATTTTTTACTGAGACTCAACGTTTTTATTTTCATCACTTTCAAGATCAAGTTTTCTTTTTCTTGTCATGAAGATCTTATTTTGCGTTTCATGTTTTTTCTTTTTTGACTGAGATTTTTTTATTTATTTCCTGAAGCTTATTTAACTCATTTCGAACAGGAGTGTCTGTGAGTATTTGAGTACGCTGATATTTACGTCCTTTAATGGATTTCCTTGATCCAGCTTTTGGAAATGGCCTAATTTTTTCTAGACTTGCTTGATGAGAGATATTGTTAGAAACACTGGATAGTTGACTTCCAGGGTCAGATATAGGCTGAATAGACAATACACTACAAGCTGAACCAGATGACAGACTTGACATCAATGATTGAATAAAAGCTGGGGCATAAACACTAGCAGAAACTGGATCAACAACACCTGGAAATGGGTTAGCAGTAATAGGTTCTGGGCGGTCTATTACATATGAAGACAAAAACTCATTATCAGAAAATATGTTAGGATTAAAGGGTTCAATTTCTGCTACAGCAAATCCTGCAGAAATGTCAGACAAAATAAAAGTTTGTGCATAGGCTTTCCTTACAACTGAAGCTATATCGTATATGGTCATCGGTCTTGGATTAGATACAATCCAATCATCACAGGCTGCATTGTGATAACGTTTCAGTGGCCCATAAACTGACCGATCTAATGGCTGCAACTTGTGACTACAATGTGGTGGAAAGGACAGCATAGTTATGCCTTTTTTTTTAGCTAAATCTAAACACACAATTGAAACATGGCTCTCGTGGTTGTCAAGAAGTAAAAGCACTGGATTAGCTGGTGAACATTTCATATTTTAAATAAAATATTTCATCCACTCTAAAAAGGTTGCAACATTTATCCAACCAGATGGGTTTGCAACCTTAACACATCTAGGTGGTCCACCATTTATCATATTTCCTTTGAAATGAATTCTTGGAAAAATAAAAAATGGAGGGATTGAGTTTCCTATTGCATTAACTGCACAACAAACTGTTACTAATGTCTCTCTTTCTGCTGAAGTTATCCTTCTAACTTGTTTATCTCCTTTTTTAGCAATTACTTTAACTGGTTTTTGAACAGTTGTGAGACCTGTCTCATCAACATTATATATGTTTTGTGGCTAAAACTTGTGCCGTAGACGAACATCTTTTAGATTGGTGAAAAATTCTCAGACTGTATAACAATTAAAAGCAGTTGCTTGTGCCATACTAGTAGCTTCAGTATTCGTAAAGATAACTCATTCCTATGTAACATAAAACGGCGAAGCCACTGTTTCCCAGCAATTTGTAAACTTCTCCACGATTTAGGAATGCACTTTGAAAGAGTCATAGGCAAAATTCATATGCAAATTCATAGGCAAGTTTTCGTGTTGTTTTGGTTGACAATCCATAGTGAAGTTTTGAGGCCCTTAAAAGATAATCTGATAAAGATGTTTCTTCTTCGTTGGTAAAGATTTGCATGGTAATGAAGTTAGGTTTGCAGACTGTATTTGGATTTAATATTCCTAATTTTTGGATAAACATTTATAAAGATTTTTACTTCTTTATTAACAAACACACAGATATATATATATATATATATATATATATATATATATATATATATATATATATGTATATATATATATATATATATGTATATATATATATATATATATATATATATATATGTATATATATATATATATATATATATATATGTATATATATATATATATATATATATATATATATATATATATATATATATATATATGTATATATATATATATATGTATATATATATATATATATGTGTATATAATATATATATATATATATATATATATATATATATATATATATATATATATTGAATACTTTACAATTATATTATATAAAAGTTTTAGGAGAACAAAAAAGTACAAAATAGTATAAAATCTTTATTTTAAGGCTTTATTTTAGAAGAAAAAAATATATTAAAAAACAATATGACGTATTGTACATGTTACTTTAAAAGTTAAACATTTTGTGTGTGTGTTTGTATGTGTGTGTGTGTGTGTGTGTGTGTGTGTGTGTGTATGCACCTTTGATCATAGGATCAAAGGTGCATAAACGCATTAGGATCAAGGGTGCTAACTCGCTCCATTTTTACAAAAATTCTTTTTTTGTCATATTAGATGCTTCTATAGCTTATCAAAAGCAACCATACAAGAGGTGAATAGTTAAGTTACAAAATGACATAAGCAAAATTATTCAACTTAAAAAAATATTAAAGATGTGAGGTTCCTTGTAAAAGTAAAAAAATTACTTTTTGTCGTCAAAATCAAACTATTTAGAAATAAATTTAATAGTGGTCTATTCTTTAACCAAAACACAGTTAATTTTGACGATACAACATTTATAACACACTGGTTATCAGCCCTCTTTAATAAGTTATGTAAGTATGGAGAAAACGCTATAAGATCAAAGGTGCTTACGGATCAAGGGTGCAAGTTCTCCCCAAAATCCAAGTCAAGCAAATGCAGTTTTGACTCTAAACCTCCAAAATCAATGAGTAAATAATTGCCAATATTTTGAAGAATTGTGCCTGAAATAGAGTATTTTGTGCAAGTGACATTTCATCCTTTGAAAATCTGTGTGATAAAATTTCTAAAACATTTTTAATATTATCAAATATATAGCAAAACTGTTTACATCTTCAATCTGCTTATCCATCAAATAACTTGGGTGGTCCGTAGTTTATTTTAAAATTAAGAAATTATATTGATCGAAATTAAAGTATTATTATTGAAAAGATGTTAAGTATGAGTTTCTAAATGTTTCAATGGTTACAATTAGGATTGAGTATTTTTTATTGTTAAAGAATACATGATGGCTAATATGAACTACACATATATCAATTAATACAAAATTGAGTAAGAAATGTTGGAGATAATTTTTTAAAGTTTCTTTTGACAAATATTCGAAATAAAAACAGGTTTTTATAGCAATTGATGAATTTTATATTAAACCACAGTTAGCATATCAAGTAGGTAATATTTTTGGCAAGTCTGTTAACTCCCTGAATGAATTGGTAAAGCTAATACAAATACTCATAGATCCATACAAAATATGAAAGGAGAATTTTTTAAATCTATTTTCATCAATTTTTTAAAAATTATCAATGTTAAAAAACTTAAATTACTAAGTAAATAATATTTTATTTTTAGTTTTTTAGTCAACATAGAATAACATCTTGAACATATGATACCTATTTTTTTACATTTTATAAATTATTGGTTAAGCTTTACATTTCAATAAGAAACGTGATCAGATAAAAATGCTGAATCAGAGAATGAATGTAAATTTTATTATTCTTTTAAAATAGCGTTTAAGTTATTATTTAAAATAGTTAGTCTACCTTTGTAGTATTTTTGCTGTAATGTGGTTTAAAATATTCAAAAGTGAAGATTTTTAAATGATAAAAACAATGAATATTTTTGAGTTATTTTTTTGATTGTAATATTTATTTCTATATGTTGCAGGTTATATAGTATTCGATAATGGATACGATAAAGGGTGCGCTTACATTTTTGCATAAGACATGCAATCGTAAGAAAAGCTTGTTGTCTGCATCTAGCCAAGATACAACACTAAAACGATGTTTATCGGTATTTGACTTAACTTTGATGGGAGTAGGATCAACACTTGGATCTGGAATTTATATCTTGACTGGAGATGTTGCAAGAAATAAAACTGGTCCTGCAATTGTTTTATCATTTTTTATTGCTGGATTTGCCTCTATTCTTTCAGGCTTATGTTATGCTGAGTTTGCAGCAAGAATACCTAAAGCTGGTTCTGCCTATGTGTATTGTTATGTTACAATGGGAGAGTTTTGTGCTTTTGTCATTGGTTGGAATATGTTACTTGAATATATTATTGGCGCTGCTGTTGTAGCAAGAGGCTTAGTTGGTTATGTAGATTCTTTAACTGGAGGTTTGATTAAAAGTGGGACAATATCAATAATTGGGGAAATAAAGGTTCCTGGAATAAGTTCTTATATAGACTTTATTTCATTTGAAATAATAATTTTATTTACAATATTTATATCATTTGGTATGAAGAACTCTGCTAGATTAAATAATATCTGCGTCTCTATAAATATATTAACTATTACTTGTGTTATACTTGTTGGAGCATTTTATTCTAAAGGACATAATTGGAAAAATTTTGCACCATATGGAGTTCCAGGTATTATTGCTGGAGCTTCTACATGTTTTTTTTCATTTATTGGGTTTGATGTCATTGCAACTGTATCAGAAGAGGCAAGGAACCCAGCAAGGGCAATTCCAATCAGTATGATTGGAACTATAAGTAATTATTTTACATTTTTAGCTTTAAATTTTGTTAATTTTTTGTTTAATTTTTATTAAATCTAAGTAACCAAATATTACATAAAAATATTACATAACAAGACATATAACAAGACATATATTACATAGCAAGACCAATGCATTTATAATTGTTTATTATAAAATATTACATAACAAGACCAATACATTTATAATTGTTTATTATAAAATATTACATAACAAGACCAATGCATTTATAATTGTTCATTATAATACGATCATATGATGTAAAAAAGTAGGTTTTTCAGAAACTTTAAATTATATTCAAAGCAGTTGTGTGAAAAATAAAATTTTAAAGAATTTTAAATTGTAAAAAAAATAAACTTTGTCATAAGCATAAACAGTCTAAATGACCAACAATAATATAGCATGTTATATTTTTGTTTTCCCTTTACTATTGCAGGAAATATACTATGCTTGATACCTTCAAAACAACCTCTAATATTATATTAAAATATTATAAGATTTTTATTGAGGCCAAACCTTAGACTTTTTTTGTTTTGTCTGTGCACGTATCACTGTTATTGCACATGCTGTGGGTAACACCTAGAAATATACTGTCAAAATGGATCATTACAAAAAAATGTGTTACATAGTGATATTTAATCTAGTATTAAAAAAATGTCTGTAGACATGAGAAATTTTTTCACGGGACTATATTTAAGCCACTAATCAATATTTTAATAAAAATGAAGTTGATAAAAATGAAATCTGTATTTAAACATTTTTAAAAAAAATTGCATTCACGTCATCAAGGCCAAGTGATTCACAACAGTTAATTAGGCTTTTTTTTTTTTTTTAATTTTAAAACATAAGCATTGACAAACAAGACCACTGCAGAGAAAAACAATTTGAGTTGTGGTGGAAATAAGAAGTTTTTGCTTGCTATGCAAGTGCACTGCCACTATTGCATTTGTTTAGCTTTCAACATCCTGCAACATTGATTAAAAAAACTACATTTGGGTTTTTAAAATTTACTTTATTTATATACTTTATTTATACTTTATTTAATACTAGTTTGCCTAAAATCTCATTTTTGCATGAAAATAAAAAATAAGAAGTGATCAGGTTCCAATTTTTCTATAATTTTTTATCCACTAAATCTTATTTAATAAAAATTATTCATAAAAAGTAGTCTCTTATGACCATGTGAATCCAATGGAACTTCTCTGTCAAATTTTCAAAAAAGCATAAATTTATTATGCTTCAAGAGACCAAAACCATATTTATCATTATATCATTATATTATATTTAATATGTTTAAAAACCATATTTTGAATTAAGTACTTAAATTAAACTAAATATTTTTTAATAACCAAAAAAAAAAGGCAAAAGTATGTCAACCTGTGTCTCAAAAAAATAATCATTGAGTCTTAAATAATAATCGTTTTATACAAAAATTATTATTTTAGGTTTAACTGAAAAGAACATTTTTCTAATCTAAAAATGAAAAAAGTGCTTATATATATTTTTAAATATTTAAAATCTTTTCAGGAATATTTTCACAAAAATTGAAATTTTTATCAGTTATCTGTTTATTTTTGAGTATTTAATGATCTTAATTTTTCTAAGTATAATTATTATTTATACTAATACTCTTCGATGAAAAATTGTTTTTAGATTATTGAGTTATCTGAGCAACATTTAACACCAAATAAATCCTTTTAATGTTTACATTATTTAAAAAATTTTTTTCATTAGCCATTTGCTTCCTTGCTTATTTTGGTGTGAGTGGAGTTGTTACTTTAATGGTTGATTACACAAAGCTAGATGAATCAGCTGCAGTTGCTGTTGCTTTCAAACAAGTTGGATTCAAGGCAATGGCATATATTATTGGGGCTGGGGCAACATTTGGACTTTTAGGTAATAATCTTTTATTTTCTTCTTCTTCTAATTCATAATTTAGATAAGAGTGTTGTTCCTTGAATCATGGTTTGAATATTTCCAAAGCGAAATGTTTTTAATCTGAATCTAGTATAAAACAGGATTTTTAAGCATTTGGCATACAATTAATTCTAATAAATGTTTTTTTGTATATAATAAGGAAGTTGTCATATTTTTTTCTTCTTTAACTTGAACATTGTTTTAATCATTAGATAGGTATTACAGAAATTCAAAGCTATTTTATAAGTCATCTCATAAATGAATACCAAACTGATATATTATATCAGTTTTGTGTTGATTTACAAACCATTCCAACAATAGATACTAAATTTTTTAGCTTAGTTAAGTTTTTGTTTTTTGAATTTATTTACTTCCCACAGGAAACCACTATAGTTAAAAAGGTTATAAAGTTAAATAGCTATATAAAGTTAAATAGCTAATAATTTTTATTAATAATTAATAATTAATAATTGTTAAGTCTGTTTCTTAAATCCATCAGCCCTCGATTTTATAACTCTGAAACATGAATCTTTATAAAAAAGGCTGTTAAGCAAAGAAATATACTGAGCAGGGACATGTTGAGACTTTCAAAATGAGCCCCCATTTTTTCTGAATTCAATTAATGTTTTAGGTCTAAGGTAAGTATCACATTCAAAAAAAGCTTTGGCTTTTAAATATAGTAAAGTTTTAATAATCTCAAACAATATAATACTTCAATAATTAATAGAACTATAGAATTTGGGCTGAGTTAATGTAAATTACCCCAGCCCTTTAAAATTTATGAAGTAATATATTATGAGAGATTATTAAAACTATAAAAATTATAAAAATATTTATTTGCTTAAACTGTTTTTTGTATATACAATTTTCAATCAATGTTACCTTGATAGATGTTGCTCCACTGTTTAATAGAAGGTTGCTCCACTAAATATAGTGGAGCAACCTTCTATTAAACAGTGGATTTGTGGATTAAACAGTGGAATTCTATTAAACAGTGGAGTTGCAGGATTTTTTTTGAGACATTTTTTTTTTTATTTTGCTTAACTATACATTCTGCAAAAATATTATTCTAAATATCTAATGAACTAAGCATCAAACTTGTTTCTTAGCCTAAACATCAATCTGTTTCTTAACTAATACCTTAAACATCAATCTTGTTTTTTAACTAATAGCTGAAAGATCAATCTGTATCTTAGCTAATACCCTAAACATCAATTCCATTTCTTAGCTAATACCCTGCACATCAATTCCACTTCTTAGCTAATACCCTAAACACCAATTCCATTTCTTAGCTAATACCCTAAACATCAATTCCATTTCTTAGCTAATACCCTGCACATCAATTCCATTTCTTAGCTAATAACCTAAAGATCTATCCCCTTTCTAAACTAATAACTTTAATCCAGTTTCTTAGCTGATAACCTAAAGATTTCAGCCACTACTTTAAAACCATTCATACAATATTTCAGACTTAGTATTTTGTAAAGATGTCTGATAATAAAACTAAATAAGACTTTTTGTTGTTGGTGTTTTTAACAAACTATCATTAAATAAAAGTTTTACCATGAAAAAAAAATTCACTTTCAAAAATATGATTTAAAAAAAAAACTTTTTATAGCTGTATTAATTTTAGTTTAATAAATAAATTTTTATCATTTTGATGAATTGAAACTCAGTTGGTTAAATTTAAAGACCTATTTTTATCATTATTCTATTAAACTTTCACCAATTTCCTAATATTTGAAAAATAGTTATCAAAAATGATTTTCTGATTCAAAGCAAATTTGTAAAAAATTTTCCTCAAATCCATTGTTCATCCTCTATAATTCATCTGAGAGGATGAACGATGTTATTTTAAGTCTTACAAAAACAAAGTCTCATGAACACAATTATACTAAGTCTTTTTTACATTAAAAAATAATATAATTTTAACTAATATTCTTGAAATTCTTTTTTATAGGCACAACATTAGTGTCCTTAATGCCTGTACCTCGTATGCTTTACTCAATGTCACAAGATGGACTATTGTTTGAATTTTTTTCGAAAGTTAATGTTAAAACGCAGGTTCCAGTCTATTCAACAGTAATATCTGGTATTTTTGTTGGTAGGTTGTTTTGTTTGTTTTTGTAGGTAGGTTGTTTTGTCCACAAAAAGTATAAAAGTTTATGGAGAGCTGTTATGTTTTTTGAATTTTTTTTTTGAAGTTATTTTTAAAAATTTGTTTATCATGTTTAATTTAAAGCTAATTTTTAATATAATTTATCATAATTAATTTAAAGCCATTTTTGAATATGATTTATCATAATTTACCATAATTAGTTTAGAGCTATTTTATAAAATCATAATCAATCATTCCTTAATATTTATAATCATTATTGATCTATATTTAAATAAAGTTGAAATAAAGTGCTATTATTTTTTGTTCTTTTTTAATAATTTTGATATGCATTAGTTTATTTTAGCATTTATAGCAGCCATTATTGATTTAAATGAATTAGTTGAAATGTTGTCTATTGGTACGCTGCTTGCATATAGTATTGTTGTGATATGTGTTGTTTTATTGCGCTATGAAGTTCCAGACAAAAATGATGCTGTTAATGCCTATACAGATGATAAGCAACTTATTGAAGAAGGTGATGTTATTTTGTAAATATTTGATAAAATTTTGATAGGGATCCCAAAGTCTACTGACATGTTGTCTTCAATTCAAATAGATAAAGTTTATATTTTATACTATATATATAAAATATAATTGTGTGAGTTTAGGTCAGCACTGTCCTAATATATTTTAAAAACTTTAATTTAAACACCACTTTAGTTTAAAAATCACTTTAATTTAAACATCACTTTAATCAGTTTTTGAAAGTTTTTTAGACAGAACAAAAAGAAGTTTTTTTTTTTTTTTTTTTTTGCATACTAAATGTTCTTTAAAAAAGATTTGTACCTGCTCAAATCCGAAACCTATGTCAATATATGTACTGCTGCTTTCACATTTTGTTTCAATTTGATATTATTATAAACTTAAAACTTAATTAGAATTTTTTTAAGGATTTTGTTATAATTTTTGTGTTATTACCTGAGAGTTTTCTAATATCCAATTAATCATGATAATTGTAAAAGTTTTTTTTTTTTTTTTTCAAATTCTGATTCACTCCAAAAAAGGCTGCAAGCAACCACTATTAAGTTAGGAGTTACTCTAAAAAAAGAATAAGGAAATGATTGACAGAACACTTAAAAAATTAAAAAGATGGGAGAGAGTTCCAAAAGATTTAATAGCGGTGGGGGGGGGGGGCAGGGGAAGCTAGGCCATTAAAAGTTTTTGAAGCATTTAGGCACAGATACAGTAAAAAAATGAGACTTTGATGAATGATAAATTAAGCGAAAATGAGTTTTGGTTGATGGAGCTAGAGATAAAAGCTCCTTTGAGCAGCAGCCTTGATAGTATTTGTAGAAAAGTGAAAGAGATGTAACTTTACAACGATGGGAAAGAGGCTCAAGCTTAGCAGATAGACCGGGTCCAACTACATTAACAATGCATTTGGACCTTGTCTTGAAGAGAAAGAGCATCATTAGAAGAACCAGCCCAAATACGACAACAGTATTCCATCCAGGGACAAATAAGAGATTTGTAGAGGTAGAGAATAAAATAAAAAGAGAAAAAAGCAAGCACGATAAAGAGAAGCAACCTTAGCAGATGCTAATTAAGCAATCATTTGTATATATGGTTTCCATAATGCGTCAGTAGTAAATGAATATCCAAGAAGACGTAATAAAGAGGACTCAGTGAGAGGGTTGCCATTGATCAATATAGGAATGTCGACAGTACTGTGATAATTGTTTGCAATAAATAACTGTGTTTTGTTGGAGTTAAAATTCACAAGCCACTGTGAGCAAGTGAGATCAGATTCAAGATTGAGTGCCTAAGCGATCAAAAGGAGAAGACTTTTTGTCAAGACAGGAGTATAAAGTTGATTCATCAGCAAAAAGAGCTACTTTAGATGTAAGGTTGTCTGGAAGATCAATAATGTAGATAAGAAACAAAATAGGACCAAAGATAGAAACTTAAGGTATCCCAGAACTTAAAATACCCTGAAAATAAAGAAGAGTTTTGGCCTTCGAGGATGACTTTAATAAAGCAGTTAGAAAGAAATGATTTGATAAACTCAAAAACATTCTCAGATACACCATATAGATCAAGCTTATGGAGAAGACCAAAGTGCTAAACTTTGTTGAAAGCCTTAGATGTGTCAAGAACAATAGTCCTAACCTCTCCACCTCCATCTAATGCATGATAAAATTTTTTAGTCACAGCAGTTAGTAAGTCAGCCGTAGAGCGAGAGGATCGAAAATTGTATTGATTGTCTGACAACAAGTTATTTGACTCAAGATGTGATGTTAGGCTTGGTCGGGAAGCGGGTGCAATTGCACTCGTTTACTGACCATGAAAATAATAATTAGTTGCAACAATTTGGCCATATCTATTAGACGTTTAGAGAACATTTAATGTATTTTTAAAATTTTGTTTTGTGGAAACATGGAAACAAACAAATTTATGAATTTGAAAAAACTTTGTTTTACAGACATACATGGAAACATACAAAAACTTAAATGTTCTCAAAATATCTTGGTGCGTATAACGTTCTAGAGTATTCTGTCTTAAAGGTTGTATTATTTGAAATTTCCAGCGTTAATTGTTATAGATATGTTTTCAAACGATTATTTTAATTTAATATATTATTTTAATTTAATTTTTGTTATTTTAATTTAATTTATCAATTATTTTATTTTAATTTTTTAATTTAATTTAATTTATTATTTTAATACTATTGCTCATTCACCAAGATGAATCTGCAAAGCCGTAAACATTTTAAACTATTAATTGTTTAAAAAAATGGAAGTTTTAAATTATCATATATTTTTTTTAAATTATCAAAGTTTTGTAAAGTTTATTATATATAATAGATTTTAGTTAATATATATTATTATTTTTTAATATAAAAATGTTGTTTTTTTTAAGCAAATGTAATTTGATGTATGTGTTTATTATGTTAATGTATTTCTTTTAAAGCAATTTGTACGATTAATTTTGTAAACAAAAAGACTTTTAACAACTACTGCATTTTAAATGAAATTATTAATCATTATCAAAGTTAACAAAACTTACTATGAATAAACATACAAGATGAAACTTTTCAAACTAGGCGAAGCATGACACGGTCGGCCAAAGAGACTGCCAGGTTTTATGTCGTGTCACTCAAACTAATTTTTTTTTATTTAAAAGTATTTGTTTTATAAAAATGGAATCTAGCCTTTTTAAAATCTGAAAAAAGTGCTAAGGGTCACAAATGGGGAAAAAAGCTAAATTGAGGGGTCCGATGCCCATTTGACCATTTTAGACACCCATTAAAAAAAATATATAAATTAATTAAGACTATTTTTTTTATAAAAATAGAATATAAAGTTTTTAAACTATAAAAGTTGGAACAAAGTGCTTAATATCACAAAAGGTGAAAAAAAAAAAAAATTGAGGTGCTCTGTGCCCATTGAAGCATTTTAGACGGCCATTGTAGGAAAAAATTATTAATTAATAGTATTTGTCTTATACAAACTGACACAAGTGTTTTAAAATCGAAACAAAGAACTAAGACTTACAAAATAAGCAAAAAGGTAAAATTATTGGGGCCCTAATTAAAACATTTTTGATGCCTGTTACAAATAAAGACATAAGCAAATAAAAAAACTAAAACAAAAAAAATCTATATTTACAATACTAATTTATATTTGTTACACAATCCAAATATACATTAATTTATTTTCCTGCCCTTTAGAGAGCAACATTTCAAAGTTAAAGATAATTTAAAGTCTTCTTTCATTGAATTTTTTTACAGAGGATAACAGTTGTTCTCCATGTTGAGCATGGTCTTCTGCACGTTTATATCTACTGCAGGTAGGTTAAAATTTAGAATGAATAGCCTCTCCACACTATTTAGCAAGCCACAGTTATGGTGTTCGACATAGGGCTGAACATGATACAGCAAGATGTGAAACTTAAAGCTTAATGAATATTTTTTTCATAGAGCCTTTAAAGTCTTTCAAACACTGAATTATAGGTCTCAGTTGAGGAACCTAAGGTATTACTACTTTATCAAGTTTATCCAGGTTTTTCAGGATCTTGTGAGAATTATTTCCGTCCCAACCTCTATCTTGATACCCTCTCTGAAGAACACTTTTAGTTTTCAGCCAGTTATCAAATTCAGGCCAAATATCCATAAGTAGAAATTCTAAATTAGATACAATTCCAATCAAAAGATGCAACTCAGAAGGTGGTACCAAATACTGAATTAGAGTATCTCAACTCTTTTTTAGATAGAGAATCCTTGGATGTATCACATTCATATATTGTTGCATGTTAGATTTTTTAGATTTGTTTTTGACACTGTATTTTTCATACCAATAATCAAGGCTTCCAAGAGTTTTTAACTTTCCACATTCTTCATTTTGCAAACCTTCACACCACAGGCATGCTCTTTTTCCTGCATGACATGATAGACCAAACACAACATTGGCGCACTTTAAATTAAATGCTACAAAAAATTGACATCTTTTAACTTGAGTTTTTTTAAGTTATGATTCGATTCAGGAACATCTTCAACAATAGAAAGAATAAGATAATGTTGAATCACTATTCATGTATATTACAGAAGACTTTTTTTTTTCCCTTCACTATCCATAGAAGTTTGTACATACTCTTGAACATGCACAAATCCTTTTCAATAATTCCCAATTCATTGTTTAGGAAATCTATCTGTAAAGATGTATAAATAGATAAGTGTCATTATTTTTTCATATTCATATAACGTCATTATATTGCATATAAAAATTACTAAGAAAACTTAATGAATAATGAAAAACATAATTTATTTATGTAAATTATTCAAAATCTAATTTTTACATCATTCAACTTTAAATTAGCATCAGTATTTTACAAATCATATCATATATATATTAATGGTTACATGTTATGTAAACACATTTTGTAATGAATAAACATGTATAGTCATTAAAAATACTTTTGATATATATATATATATATATATATATATATATATATATATATATATATATATATATATATATATATATATATACATATATATATATATATATATATATATATATATATATATATATATATATATATATATATATATATATATATATATATATATATATATATATATATATATATATATATATATATATATATATATATATATATATATAAATATATATATATATATATATATATATATATATATATATATATATATATATCAAAAGCTCTTTTTATATATATCAAAAACTCTTTTTGTATAAAAAAGAGTTTTTTTATATATATATATCAAAAACTGTTTATCGTTTATAGTTTCACACTTGTTTGGCTAGGACATATTTTTCTTAATGGCATTTTATATATTTAAATGGCTTATGGAAGAGTTAAAGCAACTTTTTTACAACCAAATGCCTTTCCTTGTGTTAACCTGTTATGCAAACTATATTTTACAACCTCTAAGAAGATTAGTATTCAAAGTAATAAGCCTAAAAAGCCTTGTTTAATCTAATATAAGATCAGTTTCTATCTTTATATAGGATAAGGATGTTTTATTCATGATGAATGGTCTCTCTCCTTTTGCATATCATTTTATATTAAAAAATCTAACATCATAAAAGATCAATTTTTTGATCAAAATATTACTAGGTCTCTATAAATAATAAATAAAAATATGAACATATCTAAAATATAAATTACCTTTTTTTTCATAAAAATGTGATATGGGTTCCGAAAGATCATTTAATTTGTCAATAGTGTTAGTTTCAACAACACTCTTACCCCCTCCTTCTTTTCCGAAGAGTAGAAATTAACTGTTTGGTCTTTTTATTAGAAAGTTCTAATACGACTTGAAGTTCTTTTATAACTTGTAAGGATACTTGTTTTACTAATCTTCAATTTACCTTGTTAGAATCCAACAGTTACATCCAACAGGTTTCCCACAGTTGATAAAAAAAATGTTGCTCCTGTTGAAATGCAGTCTGCATTTATTTTATTTTGTATTATACTTGAAGCAACTTGTTCATCTTGAATGCTCCCTAGACTTGTCCAAAGAAAAATCAAGTTTTTTACAGCAGTTGAAGAAGAACAGTTGTAGGCATGTCCTACTGATAAGATTGAGTAGCATTGCCCAGAGAGCTTTGAATTATAGGCAGAAAAAGATATAACTGGTTTAGTTTTACTAATTGGGAGCATTCCATTTGAATTTTCGGTCAACATTTTCCATTTAAAATTGATGTTAATAAAAACCAGCTATTTTAAATGTTGTAAGAAGTTCGGTTAAATTATGTAAGTTGCAAAAAAGATATTCAAGAGATGTCAAACTTTATCATTTTGGTATATAAATTTTTAGTTTCAAATGTAAAATAGAGAACTTTCCATTATTTTTCAAGCTTATGTTTCTATATAACTTTTAATCAGAATAAAATTGACTATCCAATCCTTAGAATTAGGGTCGGCATTCGCCAATGCCGACTTAACTGTCGACCATAAAGTGTTTGAGGTCGGCAAATAATTGCCGACCTCATTTCTATGTTTTATAGTTAGACCTTTGTATCAAATTTTTTTTGCTGACCTGATGCCGACCTCTAAAAGATTGAGGTTGGCAAATTATTGCTGACCTCGTTTTTCCTATATCCAAGGGTTGACTATCATAATCATTTATAAAATTATGAGGGTAGAAACTTTTGCATTGCCCTTTGCTTGCCTTTTTTTGACCCTTTGCACTGTATTCGGATTTTAAAAAACCCTTTTTTTATGAATAAACTATTATTATTCTTAAAAAAAAAATTTGTATGAGTGACACGACATAAAACCTGGCAGTCTCTTTGGCCAACCGTGATGAAATAATTAAAATAATTTTAATTTTTTTATTTATTAAACGATTCAATTTTTTTTTTTTTTTTAAATTTTAATTCACCTCCTCAAGGCTAAGAAGGCCACTACAGACGAGGAGGCTACTTATTTGTGGCTATAACCCTCTCTCAACTCTATAACTCCGAAACACGAACCTTGACAAACAAGGCCGCTGCGCTGAGAAACGAGTTGAGCGCGGTACTACCAGGGACGTGGTTGGGATCAAACTCCGAACCACTTGTTTATGAAGCGAGCGCTCTACCACTACACCACTACCGCATTAAATTAGCGTTAGTTTTATTAGAATCTTGTTGAAGTTAGACAAAAGTATATAAATATAAGAAATTATATTATACTCTTTGATAAGTAGAAGAACATTTGTTTCTTTATTAAACAATCATTAATAGTAAGTTGTTACTTTATATTTAAAATGTTGCATAACTTAAAAAAGTTATAAAAAACGAAGTTAAAAAAATATTAGTTCAAGACGTAATTCATTTTGTTTCAAGTTTTTATTTTGCGTTAAAAATTATTTACCTTTTAATGTACGTATGGGGAAGGGAAGTCCTTTTTTTTACCAATTACTCTTTGCTTCACGCTAATTTTGATATAAAAATTGAGCAAAATATATATTTGCTTTTCTGTACTGCCTTTTTTTTCAAAAACACTTATAAAATTATACAATTTGGGCCTGCTTTCTTAGTTTAGTTTTTTTTGTAATTTTCTCTCATCGGTCCAGTTGAATCTTTCGTTTTTTTTTGGAAATGTTCTCAGAACAACTTAAGAGCCGTGACCAAATTGTTGAAACTAAGTATTATATGCATGGTCAGGAATCGAGTGCATTTGCACCTGCTTGGGATGTGAGAAATTTGTTTGCTAAGCTTGGGAAGAAATGTGAGAAATTTGTTTATCAAAGACTCAAAGACCTTGCTAATAACAGAAAGAAGATTAATTGGATAATAATTGGAGGGGTCAGAATGTTCATCAGAGTTTTTGAAATTGGAACAATAGATGCCATTTTTTCAGCAGGCAGATAAACAAGACTCATTTTTTTCATCTTTTTCAAAAAAAAATTCTCAAAAGAGTTGTTCTTTTGAAAAAGATGAAAAAAATGATTATGATTAGATATAGCAGCTTTATAAGAAGGTGAAAACCATGGAGTAGAATGAGGGTTGACTTGGAACCAACAAGAAAGAATAAAAGCATCCATTCCTGCCTGAATCTAGGAGGTTATTTAGAAGGCGCATTTTTCAGCTGAGAGGGAAAAGAGCCCAATGACCGTCGCATAGAAAATCACGAAAAGAGTCTCAATCAGCTTTAGGGTAGTTGTAAGTAGTGCGATGATAGGGTACAAGATAAAAGATTTAAAGAGATTATTACAAGGTCAAAACCACCTAAGGGAGAAAAAGGAGAAACTGAACACAAGCTAGGATCAGAGACCAGACATAAATCAAGGAGAGAAGGTAAATGATTAGGGTTGTCAGAAAAACGAGTCACAAAGTTAACTATCTAACTAAGAGATTGAGAAGTGCAAAAGTTATAGGCTTTAGTGCCAGCAGGGTCAGTGGCATTAGAGCCGAGCCATTCAGTGTAATGAGCATTAAAGTCACCAATAACAGCGATATTGGCAGAGGGGTAAAGAGAGAGAGCATGGTCAGTTTGATCAGAAATTATATCTATAAGAGTGCGGTCTTAGGAAGAAGAAGAATGATAAAGAACAAAGAGAAAGGTGATAGAGTGAAGAGGTGCTAAGCGGAAGCACATAAAGGAATGGTCAAAGGATTCGAACCTGATTTTATGACATATAGGTGAATTGATGCGTATGTATACCCCTAAGCATAGCCCCTATCAAGAAGGCACAAGCAAAAACCTATTTAAAAAAGTCTTTATCTAGGAAGTCTCCTACAAGACAGTAGCTAGATGAAGTTAACATCTGCCCAAGATGAGTATTTTTATCGGGACACCATCTGTAGCTTTTACTCAACCAAGAGCACCAGGGGAAGGGATTTTAAGGTGGATGCAATTAATTTAATAAGTAAAATAATAATAAAAATGCAATCGACAAAAAAACTTAAATTTTTGTTGTTTAGACCCCTTATTAACTACTGCTAAGTATGGTGGCAATAGTATAATAGTTGGGGTGGGGGTATTTTGTGATGAACCTAGTGGAAAAGGTAAAGAAAATTATGAAGAATGTGAAGTTTTTTTGTGAATGTTTTCCTAAAGAAAGGTTTTTAATTTTTATTAATATTTTGTAGATTTTGTGATGGTATTATGAAGGGTGAAAAGAAGGATTTTTTTTATGTTTTCCTAAAAACTAAAATATAAGAGTTTTTTTTAGTAAGATGTAACGCTTTTCCAAATATATTGACAGGCTATAAAATACACCTCAACATGAAATGGTAGTGTTTTGAAGTCATAGGAAATTTATTGCATAAACAGATTTTTGTTAGTTTTAAGTATTAAATGTTAAATAAACAAAAAACTCGATCAAAATTTGTCGAGTTAATAATAAGTTATGTTTTTTTTTTTTTTTTCTTAGTCACATTTAGTCAGTTAGTTGGAAGCAGATGTATTTTGACTTTTAAATAAAAAATATTTATCTTAAAGTGTAATCTTTAAATAGAAACAAAAATATATGTAAAAATAAACTTTCCCAAAATGTCCCTAAAATCTCCGACCGTTATTCTACAAAGCCGTGTATTTCTGTATTTATTCAGCTTATTACTTGTTTTTGTATTTATTTAGATGTTTACGCTGTTAATTAATATTCTCTGTTATTTATTTTAATAGAATCTTTTTCACGATCGTTCAATCGTTCAAAATATGACTTAGGAGTTTCAAAAAAAAATATATCAATGGTAGTAAATATTACTGTCATTCTTCTTCTGCTAGAGTTAATAGGAATTTCCGTTATCTTGTCATTCTTTGTTAAGAAAATTACTGAAAAAAATATTGCTGTTATTGTCATTTTTTCGTTACTAAGTGTTGCTCTCTTAGTAACAACAGTTATTTTATCAAGAAACAAATCTTGTGAAAACACCTTAAGCTTTCGAGTGCCATTGGTGCCGTGGATTCCAGTATTGGCATTGTTTTTCAATATTTACTTGATGTCAATGCTCAGCGTATTGACATGGATCCGTTTTGTTGTATGGCTAGCAATAGGTTAATTTTTATTTGGTTTGCTTTATTCTAATTAATATTCAATTTACTTTAATTTGTTTTACTACCATAGTCAATAATTTTAATTAATTAAAAAATTCTATTTTTTAGGTCTGGTTATTTATTTTACATACGGAATACGTCATAGTAAAGTTCTCTTGCAACAGAAGAATTAAATTTTAAGAGTTTGTCATGACAACTGTCAATTGCTGCTGTAATCTGTTACTGTTAAATTTCTTTAAAAAATTAATATTCTAAACATTTAAAACTCGACCTATTACAGAAACAAATACGAGCGAAAAACAGTTGTTTGTATATAAGATAAATTTTTTTAGTAAAGAAATAAAAGTATATTAAAGGCAAAAAACAAAAACAAACACTTGCAACCTTTTTGGTTTACATCTACTTTTTTTAAGTAAAAACACAGTAGTTACAAAAACACATATTAAAAAAAAACTCACATTTTATTCACAAAACACTTTTTTAAATGTTCTAAATTACTTTCTTTGTGTAACCTGATAATTAAAACAGCTTTAATTTTCTTTTCTCCCGCAAATAAGTTGATAGTGACATTTTACGACGCGTTTTACGCGATATGATTTAAAAAACAAATTTTGTAATTTATTTTTATATATTTTTTAGTATAAAGCAAAATATTTACTATGTGTTTATAAAAAAATGATTTTTGTGTCTTTTTTTTTAAAGAACATCTTATATCTTGAATTTATTCTTTTATTAATAAAAATGGTTTAGTTGTCTCTGAAGATTCTCAGCACTAGGTAAAATCCGAGCTGGTTTAATGCGAATTGTGTTGCGAACCGACAGTCAAAAATCTTTCATTTAAAACCTTTCGTAATTACTGTTAGGAATAATTTTAATATCTGATTATCTAGGAGTGTATTAAAAAACGGGGGTGTTCTCTCGGTAATAATCTCTAGGACAAGTTTTTTTTTTTAATTCAGGGTTACCACCAATCCTGGAAAATCCTGAAATTTGAAAGTAGTCCTGGAAAATCCTGGATTTTTAAATTATTCTGTAAAATCCTGGAATAAAGCGTGTACACGAAATTTGAATTCGTATCTTACAACAATCCGGGTTTAAACCTTTTGCTCGACGCTCTAACCAACTGAGCTATCCAGCCACAAAATATTTTAATATCTTTAAAATTTCTGCAAAGTTTTTTTCATTTTTCTTTTAATAATGGCTCAGTACTTTTCAATAGCTCTTAATTCTGGGCAGTTTGGAGGATTTACTGTTTTAGGAACAAATTTCACATTATTATTTTTATACCATTCCAAAGCTAGTTGACAATAATGAATTGAAGCTAAATCTGGCCAGAACACAGGTTTCTTATCGTGTGATTTTATGAGAAGTAAAAGGCGTTTTTCTAAATACTCTTTAAACATATATTTGACCCGAAAGTGTGAACTGAGAAATATAAGGTACTTATTTTTTGCCACAGCTGCAAATAGCTTGCCAAATTAAATTTTTTCAGCAAACTTGTCATGTTTTATATATTAAAATTTCTTATCTGCTTTTCTTCTACATTTGGCAATATAATAGACGGCACCAGGAATTTGCTGGTGATCGTACTTGGTATAAGTTTCATCGTCTTCAATAATACAGAAATTTTTAGAAATAAAATTGTCATACAACTTTTTGCGGCGGGTATTTTACACTTTTGTTGAGTTTCAGATTGGATGGACACTTTTTGTGTTTTGAAAGAATGAAAACCATGTTCATTTCGAATTTTTACAACAAAACTATGAGAAAGTCCATGAATGTTTGCGCGATCCCATAGTGAAAGGCTTGGGTTAGTTTTAAAACTGTTAACCAGTTTTCTTACTAGTTTTTTATCTTTAAAACCCACCACCAGATTTACGTTTGATCGATTATGTTTGAGAAAAATGTTGGATTTTACGACTAACAATGTATGGATGTATTTGCAACGCTTTTGCTATCGAATTGTTGCTACTATTGCGATTTTCCAAATATCTGTGCATAATTTTTTCTCTTATGTCTTCTTCTTTTGTCATTTTTAAAACTAATTTTAAGTTAAATCTAAAAACTAATACATATTTTTGAAACCACAACACGTTGTAAACAAAAATACAAAACAGTTAAAAAGATTTTAATATAACCACTCAAAAAAACAATAAAACAAATAAAAAAACAAAAAAACAATAAAACAACAATTCAACTACAATACCAATTATAGTAAATTATAGTAATATAATTGCTCTAATCTATAACTTTTTTGGAAAATCTGTTTCTTGTATTGTTTTTATGTAAATCTGTTTCTTGAATTGTTTTTGAAAATTGTACTTTAAAGATTCTTTAAAAAACTTACACATCCACAAATAGTTAATTTGTTTTTAAAATATTATTTGAAAGATATCATCATAAAGGTGTCCATAAATCATAAATATATAGATTGTTGATATATATATTTTTAATTAGTATTTAATGATTGCATTAGTGTATAGTTTTAAATAATTTTTATAATAATGAAATATTAGGGATTCTAAATTCTCTTCAACTCCTTTGCGTTTTTTTTTTTGTGTGCTTTTCGTACTTGGTATAAGTTTCATCGTCTTCAATAATACAGAAATTTTTAGAAATAAAATAATTACAAATAAAATAATTAGAAAATGCCTAGAAATAAGTGCATTTTTCAAGTAAAATGGCTTGTTAATAAAAAACATAAACATTAGTTACGTAAAAAAACAGAAACTTTTGTGATTTGCAGTTACTGTGTTAAAGACATTAATATTGCTAACACGGGAAAACCTGCTTTAACTTCACACATGAAAGGTAAAATGCACATAAAGAGATCTCCTTCTACTAACGATATCAAGTCATTGATCCCAACTGTTCAAGCTAATGAGTATATGTCAGAATGCTCATTAACTTGAACTCTGCTCAAATAAAGCAGAACTTGGTGTTCTGTTTATATTTAAACATTCGGAATAGCTCCCTTTTTTAAAAAATTTCCCGATCTAATACACCTTATTGCACTGTTTCATTTGATGATTCTATGAAGAGAGTTTTTCAGAAGGATTTTGGATGATAATATGAGTATGTTAAAAACTCGTTATCTTAAATTAGAGTACATGGGGCGCTCGACAACACATGGTATTATGCAAATATTGCTAAACTGTATTTCTGATATAAATAAATCAAAGATTCTATAAGTGTCATCGATGACACTTGTGAATCTTTGATTTATTTATATACATCATATGGGCTAAATATAAATTTGCTTTTTCGAGAAAATTTAAAGAAACAGAGGAAAGAGGAAGAACTTGATCCTCTTACAGATATTGGAACCTTTGGTCTTCATATCATTCATGGCAGTTTTAAAGCAGGGGCTAAAGCAAGTGGCTGGTAGCTAAATAATCTATTAAAAGTAATATGACAGTTTCTACATGACTTTCCTAGTAAAAAAGCAACCTATGAAAACATCACTTGGATACTCCGATGCAGTTTTGTTGACATAGGTGGTGTGAAAATAAAAAATGCGCTCAAAAGGCTGAAAAAAAAGGTCCAAATTTAAAAAGGTACTAAACTAAACTAACTTAAAAAATGTACTAAATTGTTTTGCGTGTGGGTAGGGAGAGTTGTGATAAATTTTTTGCGCGTGTGTTTATCATTTACTGTTGTTCTAAATTAGGTTGTTACCTCTTTGCTTGAAGAATTACCAGAAAATTTCAAAATTGTGAGTTAGTTATTTTAGTATACTACTCTCGAGTGCCGAATACAACGGGGGGTGGGAATAAACGGGTAGGTGGGAATTTTAGTCAAAATCTAATAAACGGAGGGGGGGGTGAAGGGGGGGAGGGGTTAATAAACGAGGGGGGGGAGGGGAATGAGAGATTTTTTCTGAAATTTAATAAACGAGGGGGGGAGGGGGATTTATAGTAGGAGGAGGATTTTATCTACAAAATAAATGTGTGGGTTTTTTTGTTTAAAAAAAAGGAACATCTTCTAGTTCTAGTAAACAGAGAAAGAATGTAATCCCCGTACCCCTTCTTACAACCCCCGTAGTAACGTACAAAAACAATTTACCAAAAGAAAATGTACGACTTTAAAAAAGGTTTAATTATCAATATTTATTAACTTTAAATAAAATATATAAAAATGATCTTTTTATTTAAATAGATCCTCAAAAGCGTTCCTGATTGAATCATTTTCATCGCGGTGTTACACTTTATTTTCTAACTGTTTGTTGTGAAAGGCTTCAAAGTTGTTTTCAATACGGCTTTTTATGGCACGGCGAGATGTTATATAGCTCTGTTTCAATCTTGTAAGATGTGGAATAAATTGGGTAGATGTTTCTGCATTACATAAAAGTTTTCCTGATTCATCAATGAAAACAGCATCTTTTCTTAGATCATCATTGCCTTGACATAAGTCACCTAATAAAATGTTGGATGAGCTATCGGTATTTAAATTAACTCGATTGTTTTCACCTTGATTTTCTAAAACACTTGTTTTCCAAATTCTTTCCAAATTCTTTTCCTCATCTGTCTGATGCTCTTCATCAAGTTGATTTATAAATAATATTTCACCTTCACAATCAAATAATTCATATCCTTCATCTAGTGGCTCTGTTTCACAAGTGTTTTGTCCTTGCTTTCGTTTCACTCCTTTTGGAGGTGTTATTAGCCCCTGAAGATCTTTCAAGTTTCTTGGGCTTGGGGTAAGCATAAGTTTTTTCCTAAATGTTTGAAGCTTTTCTCCCACCTCGCTTCCGTCTAAAGCATTGGTTACCCACAGTGCCTTAAATCGACTCGTAACATCAATCTCCAACGAATTCCAACTTTTTAGTAGCATTTTCATCATGTGATTCCTGGATGGCTGTGGAATTTTTTTGAGGTCAAGTCTTAATTGCTCTATCATAAGGTTTTGCTCCAACTCTCGGTATTTAGCTTTTAAAGGCCTGTGGAAATCTGTATCGTTAATTTGAACGTCCATTGTAACACCACCACCTATTCCAACGTAAATATAGCCTTTATTTAGTAAGGCAGCTTTAATTTCTGGCATTATATGAATACTATTAATCATCTAGAACATAAATCCCGTAATTTTGATGTGTAAAAATATTGTGCCTGTTTGGTAAATTAGTTATTGTACTCAGCATATGTTCCAATCGATAGGAACCTTTAGGTGCCCATTGAAACTTCACATCTTGAGGAGGGTTAAGTTTAACCCTAACACCTTTGCCTTTAGACACAAATTCTGGTTTAATTGAGACTTTAGGGTCACTGCAAACTTGAGTGTAAACAGTAATTCGTTCTCTTGAAAGAGAATAATTTTCTTTGACGTGTGTGTCCAAACCAGTAAAGTTCAAGGTCTTTTGGGTAGAACTTTCATTTCGGTGGAGTGGCATTTGGTCACCATTCAGCACAGGTGGATCAACTCCAAAATTTTCAATAAAGTATTTACGTACAGTCCAAATGTTTTTCAGGTACTCAAATATTCTTTCTTCACGGTCAGCCTGCATTATTTGAAAGCGTTTGTTAGGATGGCGCAGACTGACACCATGCTCACTCATCCAGTTATTTAACCAACGGTTTGAGAAAACAATTTTCTTGTTCCCTGGCACCTCTTCTGGTTGTTGGGCAAGCCACTGTTCATAAAAAAGTTTGCATTGTGCTGTAAACGTTTTCCTGGGTAAACGTGCTTTAAGGGTTCCACGGATGTCTACAAACCACTCGAAAAAAAGTTGTCTGACGTCTGGGATGGTTAATTTTTGTCCTCCTGCTTGACAATACCTTGATTTGCTTGGAGGAGCAGTTACAGCATCTTCGTCTGCCTCAACTTGGTTTAGACATCTTTTCCCAAGTTTTAGGGCTTTTGCTAAGGTTAGATTATCATGCTTAATGTCTTTTAACGTGTTTCTTTCTTTTTTCACTAAAGCTGAATTTTTGAAAGTTTTCAGCAATCGATAAAATCGTACTCTTTTTTGTAACTTTTACAAAGTTTACCTAAAGACTTTTTTTCTTCCAAACTGTATTTATCTCGGTCAGTTCTTGAAAATTTCTGATCTGACGCCATGTTACAATATAAATATTTTTGTAAAAAATTTTAATTTATAAATCCAAACCAATAATTTTTACAAAGCATGCATAAAACTATTTATGCATGTTCAAGTCAAATGCGCATTTGACTTGCGGTCAAAAGCGCATTTTCTAAAGGTGAGTTTCCACCCATCCGTTTTTTAACGGGAACGGGGAAAAATAATCACGTGGGCATGCGTATCATAAGTTTTAATTTGTCCGAAGTAAAACTGCGCATGCTCAAGTGATTATTTTTCCCTTTCCTATCCCGTTCCCGTAGAAAAACGGATTAGTGGAAACTCACCTTAACAGTCATTAGGGTAGGGTTAGGCTGTTTTATCATAATTTCAATAGGATTTAATATGCTGATATAAGTTTTATACTTTGCAAAGTATAAAACTTATATTCAGCATATTAAATCCTATAATTAAAACCATAGCTTTGTGGAGAAATAAACTAAAAGTTCATTTTCAGCAAATCGAGATTTAATAGGTCGACAATTTGTAAAACCTGTTTACACTGAAAGTTTTTGTTTTTATCGGTGACTGAAAGTTATTTTCAAATTTTTAAGGCTGATTTTCACTGAATTTTTTTTTCTACTTTTGAGATATATAATTTTTTTGTTGATAACAAGTAAAAATTAATAAACAGGGAAGGGGGGGGATCTTAATAAGCTTAGGGTGGGTGGGAAAAATATCCAAAAATTAATAAACGGGGGGGGGGGGACGTTTATTAGGAACTCGAGAGTAGGAGGTAAACTGAGCATTTATGTATTTTAAAGTATTATCAGATTATCAGGTTTGCAGTCGGTATGACTGGTCGCATAGATTTAGAGCTACACCAAGGTAGTTAATAATTTTGAAGTTGTGCAACATAGATATGCTAAAAACATTACATTTAAATAAAAATGTAATAAAAATCATAAATAAAATAGCGTGATAAAAATACGACAATGTGAAGAATACAACCTAACAACCGTAATTTTGCAAGTAATGGATTAAAGAAAAAAAATAAATTGCTTTAAACAAAGACAACAGTTTATTAAATGAAAAAATAGGAAATTATATCAGAATGTCGACATTTTCCTCTTTTCTCTTGAAGACTTCTTAACTAGCTTTAACTCTCTTCCAGACAAATACGCACCGCTAAAAAACGATGTCGAGTATCGTGGCTTAACTTGGAGCCTTAAATCATAGATTACTGCAGCAATTTTAACTTTAATTAAAAAAAAAATAGTTATTTAATCATTTCTCAAAAAATGATCTAAAATATAAAAATGTTTTTTTAAGACTTAAAAGTCTTAAAAAAACTCACAAAAACTATAAAAATTTAGTTGTAACACGACGTAGCAAAAAGAACCATTTTTCCACTTTTTGAGAGCTACGCGGAAGGGTATTAGAAGTCTTTTGAATATACGTTCAAAAGATATCTCATACCCATCTTGTTTATCTTCAAACAACACCATTATACTTGATTCAGTTAAATTCTTAGAAACTTTTACCTTGTTCTTTATTTCAATCCCTAAAGAACTGCAAAAAAAGTATTCAATCATTCCATACTGACTTTCATAAGTATTTAAAAATATTAAACCTTTACTCTATATTAATTAAAATTAAAAAAAATGGAATATTATCATTTATTACGGACAAAAATGGAATATTATCATTTATTTTTTCTCTAAATCGTGGAAAAGCTTTTTGTCCAAACAGCATTCCAACCTTTATTCTTAAACGTCTTGTTTATGATATTTCTCTAGCATTTTATAAACTATTTAATCTTTTATTTGTTACTGTTATACTCTAATATTATAAAAACAGCATGTGTTAAATTTATCCATAAAAAGGATTGAAATTTCTTTAAAAAATTCTCGTCTCCACCCCTATTCTTGATATTTCTTTAAAAGTGTTTTTACGGCTACCAGTTTGTATACACTCTATTTCCCATACTCTTATAATCAATATTGAAATGATTTTTGGTTCGATTGATAGTGGTTCATTAGCTTCTGGTATCTTTATTGATCTCTGAAAAACTTTTCTACCAAATGAATACAAAATTATATTTAAAAAGATATGTCACTACAGCATACGAGGTATCGGTAAAGATACTTTTCATCGTATATCTAAAATCGCACTCAGTTTGTCTCGATTAATGGTTTTGAATTAACAAATTAAGTTATCGAATGTTATCGCTCTGGGTTCTGTTCTTGAGCCTTCACTTTTTTAAATATATATTAGCGGTTTGTCTCACTCTACAAATATTTTAAATAAACTCGATTTTTTATCATTTGGCTGACGACACTAATCTTCTATGCATTAAGAAATCACTCGCAAAGCTTTGTAAAAAATTTCAGATCTCCATCAATTGTATTATTGATTAAATAGGAAACGTATTTCTCTTAATACCAATAAAACTGAATTTATTATTTTTCACCCTCCAAAAAAAAAAGAATAAAAATGTAAAAACTTGAATTTAATGTAGAAGACTTTTCCAATCTAAATATAAAAATACCTCTTAGTACTTCTTGTTGTCATAACATTATGCTATGTCTTTGATACAACATTACAAACATACTCTAATACCAATTTACTAATACTTTTTTATCCTCCCATCTAAGCTTGTGTTAAACTTATGGGGTCTAAAATTTTATTGCATAGTTTGGGGTTAAAAAGAAAAACTTATATTAAATTGCATAAGTGAGAGCAGAATGAGAGGGCCAGAGCAGGGCCATATCAAAACTTTTATTATAGTCTTCAGCATACTGAATAATGAAGCTTCAAAGTTAAGTATGCCATCATCGGCGTCTTTCCCCTACATCACATCGTAAGTAATTTTTATATGTGTATATTGGAAATTGAAACTTTGTCTCCTAGTAGACACGGACGTAAAAAAGACGTTTTTTATGCGTCTTCTAAACGTTTTGGACGTCTTTTGAACGTCTTTTGAACGTCTTTTGAACGTTTTGGACGTCTTATGAACGTTCAAAAGACGTCTTTTTTATGTCCGGTGCCCACTGGGCTGATGCATTGTTTACACTGTGTTCTAAGTCTTTTTTTATTTTATTTTATTAGGGTGGAGGGGAAGGTCCTAGAGTTACCACAACATTATGTTGGTTAGAGGAGGGAGGCATGACCCAAACACAGGCCTGTTAATTCTAATATTACTATAAAGTATACAAACGGCTATTCATAGGATTACGGCGGTTTGAGTAATAACAATAATAAAAAAATAAGTAAAAAAGAAAAATAATTATTACAATCACAATAGGGCTTCTGAAACCAATAGATCTGGGATCTGGGATTTTTCCCAGGCCCGTTTTAATCTGGAGTTAACACAAAGAATAAAATACGTAACATAAATTAACAAATAACATACATTACACAAAATATGTTTAAAATATGCATTACGCAAATTAGCTATCATACACTGAGTACTTTTATTGTGTTTTAAAATGAACTCATTTTATATGAGTTTATATACAAAGACACTTAGTTAAAATAAAATGAGCTTCTTTGATGTAATTCAAAGATAGCGAAATTGTTAACACTTCGATGCTAACAGGATTTTCGCATCCGAAAGAACTTTGTCAAATTACGCTTATATATTGCGAATTTATATGTTTTTATAAACTAAAAAAAAGTAACAATAAAAACCGCAATAAAACACCTCAGATCTCTGTAGGATGTTACTTTACTGTTTTTGTTTACGCTTACTAAATATGCAATAGTTTTTTAATTAGCGCTGCTCTTCAATTGCAGTATTCATTGTTTTTACTATTGTCATTTTAAATACAAGTCAAGCATTAGAATAACTTTGCTAGACAAATGAAAAGGTTATTTATAATTATTTTTTTAATTCACTTGATAATTATTAATTGCAACTTAATCTTAAATTAAAAAAGAAATTAACAAGTTTTGTAATAAAACGTTCAAAAAACATACAAATAAGAAACAAAATTTTAGTTAAAAAAACAACTCTGTTTGATTTTAAAAAATTTGAGTAAATAAAATTTTCTTTCAAAGATAGGGTTTTTATTTTTGTTTATTTATTTTTTTAACAATAAAAAGTTTGAAAATTAAAAGTAAAAATAATTTTCAAAAGTATAAAAACAAAACAATTTTTTTAGTTTCATAAAGCTGGGAAGAGTGATTCGTTTTTCTACATTTTTTTGAAAAACGAGTTTTAAATATTACTATTTCTAGCTGACGCTAAACAAAACTTTTATCAGTTTGAGTGAATTAGAAAGGTTTAACTCACGCATTTAGTTGCTCTCCAGGGTTTCTTTTAAATAATTACAACACTATACCCCTTGCAAAGACCGGAAACTTGGGAATCTTTTGATAGGTCACCTTAAAAATTTTCTATTTTTTTGAAGACACCTTTAGATGTTCACATGGTTCAGATGGTTAAGTAAATAAAAGCATATTGTGTAAATCATAACATTATTTCTTGACCTCTAAATATAAAAATAAATAAAAATTTATTCCATGTCATTTTTAATTGAAAATATTTTAAAAAAACCTACTACAAAAGATGATGAAACAACGGGTCTAAAAGAACTCTCTTATAAAATGTCATCATCAGGTATGATTTTAAAGGGTATAATAGTAAAGGGTGTATTAAACGAGTATAAGTGGTGTGTAAACATTGGTTTTTTCATAAGAAGTTTTAAAAATTTTCCAGTTGTATCTATAACGTTCTTGTTTAGAAAAATGCGATTGGTCGGAAGAAAGCAGCAGATATAAGGTAAAGAAAAGAAGAAATCTTTTTTCCAAACACCAAACATGGCAGTTAGAAAAAAATTTTTTAATTCGTCCATACATGTCTGCAGAAGAAAGAGAAACTCTTGCTGGTAAAATTCATTTAACCCCAACACAGATTAAAATTTGGTTTCAAAATCACAGGTAATATATATATATATATATATATATATATATATATATATATATATATATATATATATATATATATATATATATATATATATATATATATATATATATATATATATATTATTTGCCGTTAGATATAATTACAATTCTCATTATTGTAAAGTATACACATAGCCGGGGCAAGAAGAAGACAAAATAGTCTTTTCGCCAAACCCCTAATAATCGTTAAATTATATTCAAAAATCATTAAACTTCATAAAAAATGTCATCAAACATAATACAAAAAGGAAAAAAAAGAAATTTAACACCAAATTGATTTTCAATAATAAATGAACGCATAGCAAAATGATAAATAAACAAAAAAGTTCAAAAATATATAAAAATAGCTTTCAATTATTATGATTAAAAATATAGAATTTAAGAAATATATGCATAAAGTATTTTTAAAAAATTTTTTACTTATATACATTAAAAAAGTATATTAATAAAGTGTGTAAAATAAAAAATTTGAATTTTTTTAAAAATAATAGTCTTTGCAAATAAAAAGAATATACACCATATAATATTTTAAAGACTGCTAATAAATATAGCTTAAGAAGAAGTCCTCCATGTTTTGATTATATTAATTTTTTTTTTTAACTTTGATTTGAAATTATTTGTTTGCAAGGGTTTTGACGTCGTTTATAATTGTTAGACTCTAATGTTTGTATTTCATAACTCATTTACATACTGTGTACTTTTGTATTTAATAACTCATTTACAAACTGTGTACTTTTGTATTTCATAACTCATTTACATACTGTACTTTTAGATACAAGTTGAAAAAAGACTTGAAAGACATCTCAAAGTCTCAAAGGAATAAACAAACTTATCAACCTTGTTACTTATCTAAGTGTAGTCACATATCTCTTCCTCAATACACAAAATATATATTAGAAGGAAAGTTCCTTTACGAACAATGCAAAATTGATAGCAATTTAGATAAAAGTGTACGGGGACATGTTTCAGAATGTCAAACAAAACACATGTACGAAATAAAAGAAAGAAACTGCCAAAATAATCAGGTTTTGCACGGCTATTATAAACAATTCCCTTTCAAGGTAGAAGCAGATGATTTCTTCCGGATGGTGAAATGCAGCGAAAAAATGCATACATTTAGAGGCTACACTGATGCACCATTTACGTTATAAAGAAACAATTGGTTGCTTTTACGATGTCATACGTTTAATGTTATCAAAATTTAAAACTGTTTTCTTGTTTAAATTGTGAATAAGGTTTTTTAATAACTCATATTATATATTTATTTCATTAATAAATTCATATAAAATTAAAAGATTTTATTTATATTTTTTAATATTTTTTTTTAAAGTATGTTTGTTGAATGTAATAACTTATAAAAGAGTCATAAGATAGTACATAATACAGCTGAAATGGAGAGAAACCATATTTTAAATAAATGAAGATGTGAATACCAAAGAATAAGGGCTATATATTGAAAAAACATATTCGGGGTCTTATAATACATACGCAAAAAATATTACTATACCCTATATCTAAGCTTTAGGTACAGTAACATTAAAATTTATTTCTGGGATTTTTATGTCGTATTTTATAATGAGTCTAAATTAATGAAACATTTTTATGTTTCATTAATTTAACTTTTTTTTTTAGTTTATTTAACAATAGTTTTTGTGATGCCGTTGCTATCGAAGTTAACATTGTTAAACAATATTGTTGTTTATGAAGATTATTTTAAACATTGTTAATTTTAAAAGAGTTGCAGACATTTAAGCAAAAAATTTATGAGAAAATAACAAACAAAAACAAAAATTGACAACTGGTAAAGCAAAAATAAACGTAGAAAAAAGACCGATTTTTTTTTTTTTTATTAAACTTCATACTTAAGAAGTGAGAGGCAGGTGGGAACAGCCTTATATAGTTACAAAAAATACTATTTGGTAGATTAGCTAATAACTTTAAAATAACATACAAAATAAGCTATACGCTGAGTATATCTATTATTTAAAAAAGTGGAGAACTATGATAATTTATTTTGAACAGTATTATTATGCATTTAATATGACTTACATTTTTTTTTTTTTTTGATTTTAATTGCATGTTTTTGTTTACTAAATCAATCAATTAATATAATCTGGCAAAGATCTTGCAGTCACTTGTTCATTTACAAACTTTAAAACTAATCTTACGTAATATCATTAAATATTATCAATACAAATAATAATGGTACAAATGATAATTAACAACAACATAAAAAAAAAAAAAAGATGATTATATAATTTTAAAACAACATTAATTTTCAAACAACAATTAAATATATATATGCTTAGAAAAGAAGAAAAAAATCACCGTTATACACCGACAAAACGTAATAACTTACAATAAGATTAAAATAACTATGGTAAAAAAGTACAACAACTATTTGTTAAAAGTAATAAGTGAGATATAATAATCATAACAACATAATTAGAATAAGTAATAAGTATTACTTATCGTTAAAAGAAACCAATGCATTCAACTTTTTTACGAATCACTTAATCACTAAGCTTTTTGTAAATTGGTTTTTTAATTTACTAATAGGTTAGTTTAATAATACTTCTTTGAAATTAAAATATTTTTTTTCAAAAAAGAAGTTATATTTTGTTTTGTTTTCAAAAGCTAATTTTTTAAATAACTTTTTCATAAAGGTATCGTTTTTTTTTATTGAAGTGTTATTAATGAGCTTGTTACTAAAAGTTTTAGTTTAATGTATTTGCGTCGAAAATAATAAACAAATTAAAAACATTCACGTTTAACTACTTAATTTTCAAACCTTGTTTTTATGTTTTAACTTAATTAAATTTATTTACTTTTTGATTTGAAAATACTCTTTGAAATAACTAATTTTTGAAACTGCCTTTTATTTTACAATGACAAAACGACGAACTTCAGGCTGCTGATGTTCGTAGCATTCAAGTAGCAACATAAATTCAACTACTGACTCCTCACCGACTACTTTGCAACATTCAAAGACACCATCAACAAGTTTAATTCATTTCTGGGCCAATAACCTTGCTCGATGTGTAGAAGGACTGTTTTTTTTTTGTCTTTCCTGTAGATTTGAACATTTTACTCGCCATCGCATAAGAACAAAAAAAAAAAAATTTAAAGTTATGGGGTTCGCATCTGGTACGCATTTTATATCTATTTAAAAACAACAATTGCCGATAAGATTTTGAAAATAATAAAAAACTAGCTCTCCGGAACCGTAAAACGGGTCACGTTAAGTCTGTTCCTCACCTATCATTTTTATATTTATTTTTTATATGGTGTTTTTATTTCAATAATTTAAAATTTTTTTTAAATTATTGGGTTTAAAAATCTCGGCTTGACATTTCTCCCGGTATTTTTTGAAATTTTAAGTTTTTTTTGACGACCCAGAACACATACATAAACACATGCATACACTCGCGTAATTGGCGAGTGAGAAAAATTATTTTAATTAAAAGTAATCAAGATTTACTTCAAGAGCTTTTAACAAAATAAGAAATGCAAAACAAAAACATTTACTTATATAATTAACATATTTAAAAAAATATATATATATATTTTTACACATGTATTTACAAGTTAACAAAATACAAATAGTAAATTTTGCACACCTTTATCTTAAAAATACGTCATTCAATTATTAATCTAAAAAATGTAATTCAAAAAATCAGTGACCCTACAAACGATCAACTTTCAAAATTTAACTTTCAAAATCTAAAGACAAAAAAAAAACTGACCATAAAGAAAACACAGCTTTTTTTAGATTAAACCAACTCTATCAAATGTTTGACATTGACTTTTAATTTTATTGAATATGCCAATAAAACTGACAGGAAATTAACAACTTATTTAAAAAAAGGTAAATTAGAATCTGATGAAGCTAACTTAATTCAAGCAACAAATAAATGTTTACCACCAGAAACACTGACACAATCTTTAATTCTAGTGCTATTTCATAACCCAGGTTTGCGATCTATATTTTTGAGTAACTTAGTTGCACAATTAACTTTCAATTTCAAAAAATGAGGAGGCATACCTGAACAAGTTAAGCTTTTTAAAATCTGAACAGGAAAGTTTTTTCTTTTATTAAGGTCATCAGTCACAACTTGATCAGCACTTACATACAAAGACATTTCTTTGTCTTCTTTCATTTTTAGAATAAATGTTTTTAAAAGTCATTGTCCAATCTTTTTCCACATATAATAATAATTTGTTTTGGGAATTTCACAAATAAACTTTTTTTTTTCCTACTTCAATCTGGTTTGAAAAGATTTTGCTTTTTTTTTAAATACTGTCCATCATTATTGTTTGTTGTTTTATTCCTAATATTAATTGATCTTTTTAAATTATCCTTTATAAAGTACAAACATTTGCAATATCAAATCTATATTTCTATATTCTAAACAATTGAAAAGCAAATAGTTTTCTAACTAAAATTCAACCAATTTATTACGGAAAAAGTCTTCATTAAATTATTCTTAACTAATTTTTTTTTAATTATATTTATATGAAGCAACTGGCATAACAATATATTAATGTATTAAGAATATATACTTTAAATTCTTAATGCAGAAAAAACAGTTCAAAATTATATATCATTGTTATCATTTCTACATAGCCATCTAACATATATTGCACAATAAATCTAATACAATATATATATATATATATATATATATACATATATATATATATATATATATATATATATATATATATATATATATATATATATATATATATATATATATATATATATATATATAATATATATATATATATATATATATATATACATATATATTGATAACGTTTAAAAAACGAATCAAAAATTTAAGGTAAAACGAGTTTTGACGTATTTTAAAAAAGACGCAATCATTTAATTTCCAGTATCAAACGAAGATAACAGGAATTTTTTTTAAACGTCGACATTTAGATAATGTTTCGTCTTTTTTATTAAGCAGGTTGTTTCCATTAAAAGATAAAATTTCTAATTTCTCATGAAGACAAAGGTTGCATGTTTTTGTTTCTGGTTTGCAAGGTTTACAACGTTTTATAACTTTCCACTTTATTATAGGTATTGTACCTTTTTCTTTTAAACTCCAAATTTCTTTTGAAAGTTCGGTATCATTTTTATATTTGATCGCATTTAAATATATTTAAATGATTTGCGTATCTGAGCTTGAATGGTACCTCACTGATACCAAAATATATTCTTTTCTTTAGAATCCGGATCTTTAGAACACACAGTGCCTTGGTAAAAAATATTACTTTATATACATTGGTTTCTTAATGGACAAGCGAATTTAGTAATACAGTTACTTGTTTTTGTAGTTATATTTCTTTGACTTTGTAAAATCTTGTGGTTGTGTGAATTAATGATGGATTTTATATTTTGCATGCAGCAAAATAAAAAATCCATTAACCTTGAGAAAAATATAAAATCCATTAGCCTTGATCGAATTTCTATTGAATATCTTCATGTCAAAAATATGAGTTGACAAGAAGTGAATAGAGTTGTTTATGTCATTATTATAAATTAAGAACTAAAGAGGACCAAGAACAGAACCTTGAGGAACACCGCACACAACATATATATTAGTAGAATCATAACCATTAATACATACAAATTGTTTCCGATTTGTAAGATAATATCGAAACCAGTCATTTACAACACCACGAATACCATACCATACCATACACGAATATATATTATATATACCATACCATACACCATATATATACCATACCATACCATACACGAATACCATTTACAACACCGCGAATACCACCATAGTGTTCTAATTTAGAAATCAAAATGTTATGATCAACGGTATCAAAAGCTTTTTGTAAATCTATAAAAATACCACCTGCCATGCATTGATAAGTATAACTTTTTCAGTTATACTTATCAGTGCATGGCAGTATTGAATGTTTTGAACAAAAACCAAATTGAAATTCATTTAAACAGTTAATAGAGTTAAGAAAAGAGTACACTCTAGAATACATAAGTTTTACAAGAAATTTACTAATGTTAGATAAAAGAGAAATTGGTCTGTAGTTAGTACATAAAAGTTTAGCGCCGTTTTTAAATATTGGAATAACACAAGAAAATTTTAAAATATTCGGAAAAGTTCTGTTTATGAATGATAAATTAAATAGTTTAGAAAGAATATTTGAAAATTCATTGTTAAAATTGATAAGAACCCGGTGGGAAATCGGCTAGCGAATAGCTA